AACCATGAACCCAGCTTCGGGTTCACGACCTAATAGTTATTGTGAGCCTGACGCTGACGACAGCGCCTCTGGGGAGTGGCTAGAGGCTTCTGGTGCCACGTCTTCGTCCGATGCTGTAGACGACAGTAAAGAACCCGAAGTGGCCGCTTCGCCACACAATCTTACCATTGATGATAACAGTCTGAAGCGCCCGACTTCCTCTGTTGAAGGTGGCGGAAGTCTCGTGTCTGAAGTGATGAAAGAAGTGGAGAAAATAGCGGAGATAACAGAAAGCATGAAAAATAAGCGTCTAAAAGTGGAGCCTCAGATAACAGACGAGGCAACAGTGGGCGTGTGCGACAAAAAGGCGTTATTGGATGTGTCCACAGACGGCGAGGGACAGGAACCTGATGAAGCAGAAGGCAACGCCTGTGTGGAGACGCTGACGGCGGCTGGGCAGGTGACCCATCGTCAGAGCGCTGGTAGAGGCGTGGTCAAGAGGAGGGCCGTGGAAAGTACCTCGACTACACTGAGTATCTCCTCCACTTGTAGAGCTGAGAGTCTTACCTCTGGCTACTTCTCGGGCTCTGATGTCACATTGTCCGATGCCAAATGCGACAGTACCTATTTACAATCAGCATTTACTCCTACATCTTCAGAGCGTACAGAGCAGAGTACACCAGTCTTCACCACAGAAAACAATGAGAGCGTTCAGCATAACTCTGAACTTACTTCAGTAAAACCTGAAAACTCTGAAGAAAACAAATGTTCACTGACCTCGGTTACGACAGAAGACAAGCCACCATCTCGGCAGGAGTTTACCGACACTGTACCCGAGCATCCCGTGACCACTTCAGCGTTCACTTCAGTCATCCCGGAGAAGAAAGTGATAACAGAAGCGGCTGTCGAGACGAAAGTAGAAACTTCTACGTCGAGCACCTCAACGTCGACGACTGTAGTCAGTACTACCACTCAAGAGGTCAAGAAGACCAATGTCACCAAAAAAGAGAGCATCTACAGTAGGATAATGAGAAGGAAGGACACCTCCAAGGAACCGATTTACGCGAAGATCAAGCCGAAACTCACGATAGAAACCAGTTTCCAGCCTATTGAACCAAATAAAGACAAAAACACTTCTCAGGGCGGTGGCGCTGGGGTGGTGAAGCCCGAGCCTATTTACAGTGTTGTAAAGCCTAGAGATCCTGGGAGTCCACTCGTGCCCAACAGCCCCGTCAGCCCACTCATCACCTCAGGCAGCCCAACCAGCCCATTTGCTCCTGTATGCACTGGTGCCCCTTCTTTTCCCCCCAAAATCGAACCCATCTACAGCAAAATTCACCCGAAAGACTCAAGAAGCAGCACCTTGCCGAGAGAACCTGTCTACAGTAAGGTGTGTAAAGATACCGCAACCTTGCCAAGGGAACCAACCTACAATAAAATTAAATATAAAGAACATATATACACAAAACCTCTGCCTCTCACACCTAGAGAGGAAGCTGAACAAAAGCGCGAATCTGTCTACAGTCAAAGTTCTACTTCATCCGACTATGGCAAGGTAACTGTGAGAGTCGGGGAAATTTCCCCGAGCCGTCCAGCAGTTATCACCATCAATAACCCAGGCTACGCTGCTCCTACGGGATTTTCATCGCCAGCATCAACTTCTTCGCCAACATCTCCTTCATCACCGATGTCCTCGTATGCACCTACCTGGCCCATCGTTGACAGTGCCCCAGTCGTTCCTTCATCGAAACAGTCAAGCAAAACAGCGTCAGTGAGCCCAACGACACAGACACAGATCAAGCATGTTGGACAAGCAGATTGTGTTTCCAAGTCGAAGTCGCCGATCGAATCTCCCGAACCCCGGCCTCTGGTAGCGTCAGATTCCTCACTCTTAGAGAACTCGGATACTGAGTCAACAGGGCGGGCCAAACTAAGTCAGCTAGTGGAGGAGTTAGCACAAGAGCTAGAGGCAGTAAGTCGCCGTATTGGTTCTCATGCCGAGATAGACGATATGTCTAAGAAAGAGGTATTGGCAAAGCTTCTATCGACCTACGATGTACCCAAGAATCTGCGACGAGTTGAGGAGGCAGACGAAGATGCCGTGCTAGAAGCGGAACAGGCTCTTGTCCCATCTTCCATCAGTATGGACGAGCTACGTTACGTGGATGACAACGAAGACAATGCTGAAACTGTTTACGCCGATGTACCCAACTTCTCGCAAGACGAGTTCGTCATCGCCCTGGACGACGAGAATGACCCCAGATACGCCTCGCTCACTCGCAAATTCAGGGAGCAGCAGACCGGAGGAGAGTCTCCTGGCAAAATAAGCAGGAAGACAGCAACGGTGTATGCCAATGCGCTGAACGTAGTGACCGCGCTCAGAGTACTCATCAACTCCAAGTCAACGCGAGCAGCTACCGTCATCAACAAGATGGGTACGCTGGCCAGGCCGTACGCCCAGCGAGTCCAGGGAACCATCACAGACACTACCTGGATCCAGAGAGTCATCTTTCACAAATCGGTAAGGGAAAACTCTCATTAGGCTCTCACTCTAGCCTCATGGGTGATGGTGATGTGATGTCTCTCTCTCTCCTCTCTCTCTCTCCTCTCCTCTCTCTCTCTCTCTCTCTCTCTCTCTCTCTCTCTCTCTCTCTCTCTCTCTCTCTCTCTCTCTCTCTCTCTCTCTCTCTCTCTCTTTTAATCTGTCATGTTTTTTACTGTGATTTACGAAAGGGTTTAGTTTATTGATCAATACAACATTTTCCAGCAAAGTTTATAACGATATTTTAAATTGCGTTACTTAGATCTCTCTCTCTCTCTCTCTCTCTCTCTCTCTCTCTCTCTCTCTCTCTCTCTCTCTCTCTCTCTCTCTCTCTCTCTCTCTCTCTTTCTCTTTTAATCTGTCATGTTTTTTACTGTGATTTACGAAAGGGTTTAGTTTATTGATCAATACAACATTTTCCAGCAAAGTTTATAACGATATTTTAAATTGCGTTACTTAGAGACCCAGACACCAGCCCACACTTGCCCACGATATTACAAAAGTCTTATAACAAAAAGTTGCTGGTAGAGGAACACGTGACAATTACGTTCCATTAAAAATATGACATTGAACAAAACGTTATTAAATTATTACAACGTAATCGTAATAAAATCCGATCTAATCAGAGAAATATACCAATTAATATCGAGCATAATGCAAAGCAAGGCAACTATCAGGGGAAAGCGCCAAGCCATTATGACTATTAAACTTGGAAGGGATCAGGATAAAGGTATAGGATGGGGCGGGGGATGGGGGGGGGGAGGAATGGTGCCCAACCAATTCGACGGTCGGGGATTGAACGTCGACCTGCAGGAAGCGAGGCCGTCGCTCTACCGTTCAGCCCACTGGGAAACATATCTGATATAAACTCAAGGTGACACTAGATCATACTTTGCTTCATCGTTCTAGAAATGTGAAAATCAAAGTTTTGTTTATAATTTTAGTTAATTCATTACGTAAACAGTGAAGACTTTTCGAAGGGTAACACGCTGATGGAAGTGTGAAGATTGATTGATAAAGATTAAGCCACGCCAAGAGGTGGCACGGGCATGAATAGCCCGTAAAAGTGTGAAATATAATGAACATTTTATATATTGAAGAGAGAGGCGGTTGAACGCTTTGTAATGGGCAGGTGATATGGCTGGGTATATTCAGAGTCTTGCAGGCCAGAAACTCGCTTCATGCAGGTCGGCGTTCAATCCCCGACCGTCCAATTGGTTGGGCACCATTCCTTTCCCCTGTCCCATCCCAAATCCTTATCCTGACCCCTTCCAAGTGCTATATGGTCGTTATAGCTTGGCGCTTTTCCCTAATAATTCCCTTCCCTTCCCCTAACAGGCTAGAAACGGTTACCTTTTCTGGATGTATCCAATTTCTACTCCCTTTATGGAGACACTTGAAATCCACAAATAGCCCCCTGATCGCTCAGAATTAATACACACGATCCTCTTGTTAATCATCTGATGTAGGACAAAATCAGTACTTTATTCTGAGTGCCACTGACCTATTTAGAATGTATACATAGGTAATCCAAAAGCTTTATTTATAAGTTTAAGAGGAATATTAAGTGGGAGACGCGGCCGCTGTGAGCCACACAGCACGAGCGTGCGTCAGCTCGGGGTTGATCAGTTTGAGAGAGTTCGGCCATGATCTGAAGTGGAGAAAGCAGGACTGTAAGTGTTTGGTCGATTCAGCGAGTATTGTGCTAATTGCTCTACATGATTGCGGCGTTGTGGTCAAGGTCAGTGAGTGATTCGTCAAGGCTCTGGACGCAATTGTATTCATGATCACAAATTCTGAACATGATCGGAAAGTTTTCCCCATCTTTTGGTAAATGTATTTATAAAATCGTTTATTAAACCACTATCTGTTACAGGGTGTAGCACGCGTTACACCACGTATCAAGGTCAAATTGTTTGTAGTTTCCTACTCCAAGATCAATATAAACTCTTATTTCGTTACGATCGACAAATTCTCACGACATCTCAACTTTTATTCTTGTAAATCTATTTATTAGATGCAACTTTTGTGTACATTAAGGAACTAGTCGATAGGCACGGATTACTTACTAAGAATAATAGTCTAACTTAGGGTGTTTGGGTGCTTGGAAGGAAGCCAGTAAGGTGATTAAAAAAATGGTTTGTGACAGGGAAACCAGCCAACTGAGAGGCTTCCGGCGCGCATACTGACTTGTGTGTCTCGCACAGTGAAGCCAAGTAGATACAGTTCTCACAAAATTTGAATTACACCGTTTGTTGAGGCTTTTAATACAAAACAAAATTGGTTACTACACAAATACCACATGCTGTTTTTTCTAACTATCTGTAGTTACAGATAGTTAGAATTCAACAACTTTCAATTCAATTAGATATCAACTCGTTTCATTTTTAATATTTCCAGATATTTAATGCTCGAAAGCGCCACAATAACCTTATGCTAAATTATGTATACAGAGAAATTTAGTAAACCGCCCTAGGCTAAGTTAATGGTTTTGATAAAGCTTTCAATGTAGTTATTGTGGAAATAGATGAGTTTACCATGGCGTAAGGTGAAGCGAAATAAAAGTTCCGTGGGAATTCGAATTACTGTTAGCTAGGCCTGTACTGGAACTACAAGAGCTCAGTTAGGATTGTACTGAAAAGAACAAGAACTACGTTGGTTTTGTACTGGAACGACAAAAGCTAAACTAGACTTGTACTGGAACAAGAAGAGGTCAACTAGGCTTGTAGAGACTAGAGCTAGGCAAGGTTCGTACTGAAGCGACATAAGTTTAACTAGGCCTATACTGAACTAACAACAGCTAAACTAGGCTTGTACTAGAACAATAAATGCTAAGCTAAGCTTGTACTGGAACAACAAGAGCTAAGCTAGGCATGTACTCAGACAAGATCTGATTCTTGCAGGTATGAGTTCGGTCCCCGACGATCCAAGTGATCAGGCAGCATTTCTTTCCTCCGTTCTATCCCAGCTCCTGGTCCTCACATCCCTTCCAAGCGCTCTACAGTCGAACTGGCTTATCCCTGCTTTCTTCTGCTAATTAGCTCCACGCGAGGCTAAATGTACCGCCCAAGAGCTTGTGTGTCGGTCCAAGAGCCCGACCTGCGTCGTCACGGGTGCTGCTAACCAGGAATGCATGTAACAGAAAACAAAAGTGTATGGCATTACTATATATGGCGGGTGTTGAGAACTGGTCCCAGCGTGGCGGCGCCGACCCACGTGTGGCGGCCAGGCTCCGCTGATCAACTCCCTGCTCGTGACGGGAATTAAATGCTGGGTGATATTTGTGATAATGTTTTGTTTGTCTTTGTAACCTTGAAGCTGTACACGTTCTCTCATCCCGATGATTAGTTTCCTTGCGCTAATAAGAGGAGATATATGGCCATTAGATCGTACTCATGGCCAGAGGGGGTGTCGATCTGTCGAAGAATTCAATCTACGGCTTCAGGTTTAGTGGCTTTTTCTTCACTGACAGCTTCTTCTGTGTGGCTGTTGCCCAAAATTACTTGACTATTGGTGCTTAGAACATTCCTCGAGGCAGCTTTTGCTTGGTCTATCTTTTTTGGCGATATTGTTCATTGCGAGTGTTCATTAATTGCTTCCGTTTGTTCACGATGGTTGAGAGTCCACAACAGACGCTATAAAGGTCTTTGTGTTAGCCGTTCACGATCTCAGTACTGTATTATTTGTAAGAACAATCAAGCAAGCGAACTTTCAGTCACCGGGAAAAGCACTTGATGTTCACCCAAAAGAAAGTAACTTAAGAAGGAGCTCTTAAAGCTTTTCCAAAAATTAATTCGAAAGAACACTTTTTATCTTTTCCAGAAATCGCCTGAGAGTAGGTCTTGATCTTCACTTTAAAGATACTTCAAAGTATACACAGTAAGCTCTGGCAAAATTCATGGATTTTATTTTGAGAAAATTGCGCACTTGAGAGTGAGTGTCTCGCACATTTGTCGGTGACGGCACAAGTGTCACCGTTAGAGACTTGTTCACCGTTACAGGTGTTCACCGTTAGACTTGTTCACCGTTAGGGGCTTGTTCTGCTGAATAGCTGGACAAGGCGAGAACAATAACATTGAAGCAGATCAGGCGCTTGTTTACCTCAAGCTAGCGCTGTGATGTCGCTGCCTCACTTTCGTACAGTTGTTGAGGAAAAGTTGATCAGACACACAAGATAACGAACCGCTGAACCACCAGACACACAAGATAACCACACCTAGTGGTTAGGGACGCCAGGGTCACCTAGTGTGGCTAGGGACGCCAGGGGTCACCTAGTGTGGTTAGGGACGCCAGGGTCACCTAGTGTGGCAAGAATAAGGCATCAGGGTGACTACTGTGTTGTTGTTGTTCTGATTAATCCAATTTATTAAAGCAATCTAAGACTTATCATAATGTATAATTTTAGTCGTTGTTTTATTGATAAATATTGTGTTTATTCACATTATCACTATAATAATAGTTACTAATAACGATAGAAATTGAATAATAAACATCACGGTATCCCATCTCCGCTAATATTAACCTCCCGGTATTCATAAAACACACTTAAGAGAGTCGTCCCTCGTATCTCGAATGAGGGACACCACTCTCGGGTGAGCTTAGTGAATCCCAGACCGGATCAATATCTCCACCCCATGTGCCTTTTCGCCCTGTTCCGATGTCGTAGCGATACTCTTGGAAGTCAGGTCAATATCTTTACTCATGTTCCCTGTGCTCTTTCCATGCCTGCATCCTGGGATATTCTCTGCAGCTTCTACGGAAGATCAAAGCTGTGAAGCGACGGAAACAGTTGAAGGTAAAACAGGACTCTTAGTTGTGCTGTGTTAGGGGGCTACACGTGTTGGTATACTGTTGGTAGTGTTGTGTTAAGGGGCTACATGTGTTAGTATACTGTTGTGTTAAGGGGGCTACACGTGTTGGTATACTGTTGGTAGTGTTGTGTTAAGGGGTTACACGTGTTGGTATACTGTTGGTAGTGT